AAAATATTCCTCTAGCTTTACTTTGTTGTGCTTCTAAACACAGAAACCAAATCCAAGAAAAGTCCTTGGAAGGAGAAGGGTGGATGGCAGGCAATAAGAGCATCACATACCTCTTGTTGTGCATACCTTTGAACACTTCATTGAGAAGCTTTCCTTGGGAGGATAAAACTCTGGTGGTGGGCCAAAATATTCCTGTGCTGCTCCTGAGGTTTTAGAGTAAGGGCCTGAACAAACAGGAGAAGTCCTTGAGTGCTGGCCACCTCGGATGTCTCTACAATGGAGTAAACGACTGATGGTTAATCATTAGGTAATACTGTCTCCTGAACACTAGAACATGAGAAATTATCAGATGCTCCTCTTAGTGGAAGAAATTAGCTTGCTTCACAAATTAGCTTGCTTGACCTTTTTTGCTTGCCTGTTTTGAAAGCAAATAATCCAAAAACTTGCATAAATCCATGCTCACAAGGATATTTGCATTCAATTGTCCTTTTTTTGGAAAATAGCATATCACAGGGTAGGCTGGCTGAACTGTTTAGCTCACTGGCAAAAGGTAGAAAGAAGAAATAACAGCTTTTTCATGAAAACTAAACAATTTAGCTAGTCCACAGCACGCTGGATAAAAGAAATGAGAGAGATTTTGGCATAATAAATGTGCAGAGTAGCACAACTATTTAATAGGTGTTTGTACTCCCAACTAGTGTCTCTCACAAAGATGTCTTTTAAAAGAATAATAGCTATTAAAATAAACAGATAAAGATTTTAAACTAGGGAAAAACAGCCTATTCATATTTTTGAAGTCCTCAAAGATATTTGAAGAGGAATCTAAAATCAAACCTCCTCCCCTAAAAGATCAGTTTTTCCTGTCTCCAACTAGTCTCTTCATTGATACAATGGTCCAGTTTTCTGCAACGACATACAAATCTTAAACCTGCTGATTTTTAAAGTTTGTGAGATTTCAGTTATTTTATAGGAAAAGTGCAACTTTCCCTTTAAAATGAGCTAACACTCAAGTTAAAAGAAACACTGGCAGCAAATTTTTTGTGTTTGGTTTAATAGAAATTTTCTCCCTGGTTTGAAGAAGAATTAGACCTTGCCTTTTTCAAGGTACAGCTGGATGAGTTTGTTATTAAAGGGTATTTTAAGTCTCATTCAGCATTATTATTTTTAAAAGTCGTCTTTGTATTCCTTTTTTATCTTGAATTTTGTATCCACAGATCAGCATTTTCAACTGTAGTTTTGTTTCCTATATCACTGCACTTCACTAAGGTTTATCTTCATCCAATTCCAGACTCAATATTATCTCGTTCACCCACATTAAATCATGTTCTTTGTAGTTCTTACATTTTAATTAAGACATTCAATAACAAGACCAATGCTAACTTCTCCGTGTTTAGCTGCCAACAGCTCTATTTGGCTAAAACATTTCTGATTTTTCTGACCTCTGTCCTGTGTCTTGTGCAACTACCAAAGCATCCTGTGCAGCTGTGTCACATAAATTAAATAAGCTGTGTGATTTATAAGACTTCCAGTAACTTGAAAGCAATCCCTTTGGTACTTCTGATGCAGCTGCTTCTCTCTATTGTTTCCTGTTACTTGCCAGAAAACAAACAAGACAAAAAATCAAACCAAATCCCCCCAGTGTTCTGCAGCAGAGTACATTTAAGAAAAAAAATATCCTTTTTTTAGATGCCTTTTTTTCTCACTATGGCCTGTTCTGGCCACCTTTGCTGCTGTTTACCTTGAGGATTTTACCATTCTACGTAATTCTCCTCAGCACTGGGAGGAAGGTTGCTGTAGGAGTTTCAGACAGAAATGCATTTGGAAAAAGAAATACACGGTCTAGAAAGTCTAGTTCATCGGGGATGAAAGTATTAGGCACCCAAAGTACAGCTTCCACAAAATTCTTCTCATGTATTTCATTACAGGGTCTGGTGGTCTTCTGGGCAATCAGCCAAAGTTTTCACCAAAACCCATGAGGACTCCATGAGAACCAAACAGAGGAAATGCTGTAAGGTTAAGCCAAACTCCTCCAAAACAACTGACAGAAAAGTTTTTCAATCAGTTTTGGTGGGGGTCTGATGGCCCCCAGATGCTTGATTTGACTCTTAAGAATTATCTTCATGGCTTTTACAAATCTGCAACTGCAGCTTCCCTTCCTCAAATCCCTGGTGGATACAGGGATGTCTGTGAACCTTTACAGTCCATCCATCAATTTCCAACCTTTACAGTCCATCCATGTAGTTTTCAACATAAAACTAACAGCAAAACCAAGAAATCCAGGAAAGTGCTTTATTAAAAAGTAGTGGTTTAATTTATTGCTAGCCTTTCACACATTGCTTATATTATGAAAGAAAAAAAAGCCCACATCAAACCTCCAACCCTTTTGTTTTTTTTATTTTTCTCTCCACTGTGCTATTAATGTGTTTACTGGCATTAGCTGCTCTCACTTCTAATATGTTCAAGATAATTTAACTATATTGCCTGCCAATCTCTGCTTTTGTTAAAGACAGGCATTCAGCCTCTGAGGGTGATTCTTAGGCTGGTCTTTGTTCCCATTTTTCTTCAGTTTTTCATAATTTAGGAGAGACACTAAAAAAAAAAAAAATCATTAGCTATTTTCACAATGCAATAGTTTTAGTACTATCCCAGTGTTTTATACTTAGCCATAAGTATTACTTGTAATCCACGCAGTGCTCTTCTCTGCTCCTTTTATTGTTATCCGGTTTCCCTTACTAAAATGCATATTATCAAAGAGTACTTCAGTATTTCAGCTTTTCTATTATATTTATCTCCTCTCCCCATTTGCCTTTATTCTTAAATTCCCCTACAATTCCAGAGACTGAATGGCAGAGATGAACACTCTGCTGCCATGGCAAATTTGCCCATGTTTAGATCTACAGACCTCTCTCCTACAGTGCAGCCATGCACTGGCATGACCTAAAAGGAAAACAGCCTAAGCTCACATCTAGCGTGCTGCAGCCAGGCCAGGCTGGAAGGAGAAGAGCAATATCCTAAGAGTTTATTTGGCACTGGAAACTCATTAGTTGATCTGCTCATTGTGGTGGTAGGGGTTGACCCACTCTCAAGTGCTGCCAACAGCCTTAGACACTTCAACAAGCACTCGTCTATTGACAGCGACTACTGGAAGTAATTTTATTTCAGATTAACAGGAACATGTTCACAGCAACTTGAGAGCTCACAAAGTCCCCATGCTGGTCTCAGTCATGTAACATTTTTCTTTAAGCAATGCATATTTGGCAAGCCGCAGCTTGCCATCACCTACTGACCAGTGTCTTCAGGAACTGTACTAAGACTCATAGCCACATTTCACCTACTTGTCACCCAACCTGATTCAGATCATCCCAGGAAATTCACATCTCTGCCTGTGTAACTCTGCCTGTGTTACACAGCCTATCTTTCTGTCCTGTCTCCAGCTCAAAAAAAAAGACAAAAAGGTTAAATTTCTAAGTGTAAAATAGCTCTCTTCCAAATGCAGTATGCTCATGCTTTCACAGCTGAGTAAAAGCTTTCTTTACTATTGTAAATTAAGCCTATTTAAGAGCAGAGAGAGGCAGACATTATAGACCTGCTGTGATCTATTTCTCTGAGGAGATAAAGACATACCTTCCATTGTATGGGTATGCTTTTCTTGCTCTTCTGTCTTCCTTGTATCTATCAGATCTATGGTTCTCATGGTGCCGGTATTGCTTATCTTGGTATCGACTCCCAGCATGAGACATCTTGTTTCTCAGATGTATTCTCTCCTTCTAAAACAACTTCCTGAGCCAGAGAAACAAAACCAGTTCATTTTATTGCTCCACTTAAAAGTTATTCATTGACCAGCACTCACTTCCATTAAATGCTGATTCAAAATAAGCACAGATTCTTTAAGAAGTGAAGGAAGTAAAACCCTTTAAACTACTAGGTAACTTCATTAAGGCAGGAATTTTTTCCTTTCTTTTTCATCAAGTAAATGCAATATTTCTGTACCTGACATTTATTGCATTTATGTTATTTACTAGGTCTGCTCTGATTCTCCTGTCTTTGCTTTCAGGCAAAGGATCGTGTCCACCAACAACTAAATCTTGTGTTTTGCAATGCTGTGTCTCAGGTAAAGGATTAAGCCCAGCAAGTGCCAGTGCACTGCATGAGTATGCACACAGCTGCCACTGGGACAGGGAAGTCTGGAAGAGCAGGCTGTGACCTTTGTCCTGGGAGTTTCTAAGAGGAGGGCACCCGTGGGTGTAAACAATCACTACCAAACATTGCCTATGGTTTACATAAGCATTAGGTACAGGCAAAACTGTGCTGGGCTGAAAGTAAGATGGCAAGAAGCTACACCCTGATAATTCCGTATTAAATACTACCAGTTTGTTGTTTGCTGAAAGTGTCTTTATCTTTTCAAGTGCAATACGATTAAGCCCAAACCTGTAAAATGAGGAAACAGACTTCAAACACCTGAGCAATCTTTAGACTCATATGCCTTCATCGCAGCCCTTCAACATCCCTGCAGAAGTGTCTACAGTCGGTTTAATGTGCACTGATCAAGGCCTGGTAACCTTCCTCCATCTCCTTTGGGTGTTATAAAGTACTTCAATATAAACATTAAAATGTAATATAAAGGAATGAACTAATGTTCGTTTACATCGCCTTGCCCCGAGGGCAGGAGCCATTCCGCAGGGAAGGTTCCTGGTGCCGCCGCAGCGACCCGAGGCCCCCGTGGCACGCCGCGGGTCGCTCTGCCGAGGGCGCTGCCCCGGGACACCCGGCGGGCGCTGCCCCGGGACACCCGGGCGCTGCCCCGGGACACCCGGGCGCTGCCGGCGGGCGCTGCCGGCCGGCCCCTCGGCTTCCCCCGCCGCCGGCTCCCCGGGGCCCCGGCCCTCACCTGCGGGCCGCCGAGCTCCGTCCGGCCGCAGCAGCTCCCGGCGCCGCCCTCCCGGCGCGGCCGCCGCCCGCCCGCCCGGCCCCGGCCCCGGCCGCCTCGGCGCGCGGGAAAGGTGCGCGGGGGCTCGGAAGCACAGCGTCAGTTCGGCTGGAAATGAGCTAAGGATCTCTGGGATCATCGAGTCCAGGCTGTGATCCAACACCGCCGTGTCAACCACACCATGGCACTGAGTGCCGCCTCCAGGCTTCCCTTTAATACCGCCACGGATGGTGGGACCGGCACCTCATTCCAATGTCTGATCACTGTTCATATGAAGAAACTCCTCCTGATGTCCAGCCCGAGCCGCACCTGGCACAGCCTGAGGCTGTGTCCTTTTGTTCTGCCGCTGGTTCCCTG